AATCCATCGAATAGAATTTGTGTTATTATTTTTTTTTGGCATCTAAAATCTGGAAAGCCTGCACTACCCCCCAACTTTGACCTAACCTTATCATTTCCTTAACGGAGCTTTTAAAACTTTCGAACACAAGGGACTTTTTCTTCCTTTTCGTAATTGCAATTTACTAAAAACTTACACTCCGTTATATCCAATAGCCAATCAATAGTGAAGAGAGTCGTTCCAGTTCATTCAATGATTAAACGCCAAATGAATTGCTCGTAAAATTTGTGAGTCGCACACCGCCGGCAAGTCTGGCATGTCAACAGCTAATGATGATGGAAGAAGCGCCGAAAAAGCCGCTGCGCCAAAAGCGACGCGTTGAACGATGAGTGTTATTAAAAGACTGCGGAAACCATACTGATATATACTAGAGCTAGTGTTGCTGTCGCTGGGCCTGCTGCTTTTTGTCGCCTGATTGTGGTGGCGGTGATATCGGCGTTGCCGCGCACATGTCGGCGCATTCGAGTGGCGGATTAGTGCGCGTCGTCTCTTTAGGATTAAAACCATTGAGGAAATCTGTTGCTCCTGATACCCGCAAGAGCACAATATGCTTCTTCCGGTAACACTCAATTATTGTTGTTGTTGTGCAATTTGCTACTGCTGTTGTTCGTAGTAAAAGTGCGCCGCTCACTGGATTCCATGCCGCACTTTATGTATGTTTATTTAATCGCTTTAAGGTTATGTGTGAACATGTGTGTGTGTGTGCGAGTGCGGAATTCGTACATTAACTTTTGCCAACTGGCCTATTTTTGCCGTTTCATAGACATTTATTTATTTGTTAAAGCTTGATGCGATTTGTGATGCCCTTCCCTAAGGTCGTTTGGCCGGTACTTTGATACTATTATTGAGTGTCGTACCTACATACACGCACTCATATATGTCGTGTGCGGTAAAAAAGGGTCTCGGGAAAAGTGGCAGGGACATTAAGGCTAACAAATTGCCAGACTTGTACAAATCATATGAAAATGCAAATGCCATTCCGGTACAGCGCAGCCATAATGCAGTGTTCAATAACTTAGCGAATTAGTATTATTTTTATGGGATGTTATGGACAATAACGCAACGCACATATGCGAGTTAGATTCGATTTTTTGTAATATTTGTAGGTATTTTCATAATAATTTCATGGATTTGTTAGTGGTATTCATTAATTCTCTTATTTAGACTTATATGTGTTAGTTTTTATGCATGTAATCCATATCTATTGAATTAAGTTAATATCATTCTTTATGATATTTAATTCCAATCTCTAGGAAGTGTATTTTAGAAAATGTCATTGTCGGCTGGCTATTTAGCAAAATAAAAATATTAAATTTGTAATTATTATTGTCATTTTCAGCCAAAGTTTATTAACTTCTTAATTAGCTCTACAACAACAGAGTCTGTGCAGATTCCTTATGACCCAGGGTGAACCGTAAGAGGTCCTCCAAACTTCTGGCTTTTAGCAAAGCCAATCTCGCTGCAGTTCTGACAGAGCACGGTTTCAACGTAGTATGGCTTAATATTCTGTCTGACGGTCTTTGCGAAAGCAGTATGCAGGAAGGCGAGTTGCAGTCAACATATCTCTTCCTGATTTATTGCTCAGCTTTTGCAAAACTGAGCTTAAAATATCTCGTTAGATACACTTAGCGAAGGGACTGTGATTGATAGAAATCGGCGTAATAAATTTGTGGCAAGCTCGAATATCTATTCAAGTGAGATCCAACGATTTTGGATCAACCCAATGACCTAACCTGACCGAAAGTATATTATTTAAATTAAGAAAACTAAAAACCACAATATTTTTCTGACATATGTATGTATGTGAACTCATAGATGCCTTGTTATGACCCTGAGTTTATTTATCAAACATCTGTAGGCCAATATCTGGTATTGGTTGGATATAAATTGCTGTCTATGAAGGTATATTTGTGATCTTTTTTGAAATTTTCAACGCAATTCAGTTTTCACAACAAAAGTATTCGTAGATATCCATATTTACAATAAATAATAAAGGGTGAACCATTTCGAGTTTCCCTTTTTCATGATGTTTTACTCCAAGGCCGGATTCTGGACGAAATGGCAGCTCTTGAATCTCTTCAGGTTGTTCTTCGTCCCAAATGCGGCAATTTCCCTTGTTTACATAACTATTGAGCCAGCATCGCTGAACAAAATTTGCATCGAGAACGTCAGATCTTCTTGCAACTTCTCAAGAGTCCATAGAGCGAAGCGATGTCGCTTGGGAATGTCGAGCAACTGCAGTTCTTTCAATTTAAGATTTCGACGTAAAATGCGACAAGTCGTCGGAAAAGGTATTTTAAAATCTTTGAAAAAACGTAACTCTTATTGGATAATCCGTTATATATACTTTATAGGATTTGCGACTTTCTTTATTTTTTGGTATTCAAGATCAATGGGCAAAACATTGAGCTTGTACGTGCTGTTGAACGTTAAAAACTTGAATTTTATTCTCAAACCGGCAAATCATTTTAAATCAACATATAAATCACATTCTTCATAATTATTTTCCTTTAAGCCTCATATATGTAAATGGATATGTTATAGGAATTACAAACTCAAGATCATGCTCACGGGCTCCATATTGTTAACGAATTACCTTCGAGCTTTATTAGAGTTGTTTTTATAAATAGACTACATTCTGAATGAATATCTGAACAGGCATATTGTTATGAAAAGTTATGGTTAGTATATGTAGATTGTAATATCATCACTCTGTAGAACTTTATTGGTTCAGCATTACTAAATTTCAATGGATTCAAACAACAATCGGGCCCTCACTAGGTTTGGACAATATGTTAATTCCTAGCGATGCACCTATTAGAAGAAAAATAGGAGTATTCGATAACAATTCTGAGACAATTGAGAAATTGGAAATTAGCTGAAATTGTTCGAGTCGTAGAACAAAAAATGTATAAACAGAGTCGCAATATTTTATATAGAAAAAATATTTTAATTCGAATTAAAAATTACTAAAGATAATATGGGCCAAACGTGGACTATATTAGTGTTGAAGAAAACTATTTTTATGCATAAGAGTTGATTTGAAGAATACTATAATAGTAAAATAAAAATATCAAGGAAATTGAAAGATTTTAAAATACCTTTTTATACTAGCCTCATTTTAATAGCGAACTTTGTTAGTGCAAAAAATATTTTGTGAATATATTAATTTCCTACATTACTTATATATATTGATCCTTCAACTTGTCAAGGAATATTTAAATTCAGTTATGATCAAACTATTTACAAAGGAAAAGAACGATTAATTTACCAAATCCCTTTAAAAACTCCTGCATCAGAATAAATATGACTTTAATAGGAATTGTTGGAAATTTAATTGCATTTTGGCGCACATTATTAATCATACCTATACAATGTATGTATATATGTATACGAGTATTTACCGTAAACCCTAAGCCCAGCGTACATTGCACATCTGCTCCTTTAAGAAAAATAGAAATCGGAGGCGTATGAAGAATTTCGCAAATTTTACTAAAATCACGTACGGCAAGTGAAGTCAATCAATAAAGCAAATGCATACATATACAGCAACAATGTTACGCTATGAAATTGTATTGGGAAATTTCTGGGAAATTCACATATTTATGCCAAACGTTCGAGGTTAGTTGTCAATACTCATTGGTGGTCTTAGGGAAGAAATGGAAACATTTTTTATACTATATACAAATGTATATACTTGTATGTAAATAGTATATATGTCCAACTGCAATTGTAAGTGAGTAAATGAGAGTCGCAGGAGCTCGAAAATACCATTGTATTACTGATGGTGAGATTAATTTGAATGCATAACAAAAAATCTACAGGAAAAGTCAATTATCTGTACCTAGATGCTATTGTTACACGCCTATGCATAAACTGCCAAAAATAACAAAAACAAACATTTATATATATTTGCCAAATCACATGCTTTCTATACTCTACACATAGAAGTACAAATGTACACGTTTACTTATAGCGAACAACCTGTTGTCCACAAGCAATTTGCTTGAGGTAGAAAAATTTTGCAGACAACAAGACGCCCACAAAAGCAGCAAAAGCCATGCAAGCGCAACGAAGACACGCGCACCTTTCACGCCATGCAAGACAAGACATATCTGTATCTAATATCTATGCTCGCATAAGTGTGTGTGTGTGTATTGTGTGCAGAATTCATTCATAAAATTTTACGTTCGACTTGCAATCGCCGCTGCTGCTGCTGCTGCTGCTGCTAATGCCAATCAATAGCGGGCGCAGGTAAAAACGGTGCGGCGAGTGCAGATCCATGAATGGGCTAATGTCGGCTCGGATTTGTTGGATTGCTTGGGGATTGGACATAATGCGCACCATTATGTTGCACAGGAGTCAATTGGCCTGACTTTGAGAATGAATGAAAATTACATATGTACGAATGGGAGTATAAAAATGAGCGTTTGACTGGCAAAAACAATTTCACTTGCTGGCGTGTGAACTATGTTGTTGTAATCTATAGTACATACAGGTAGTTGTTGCATGACGACCAATAGCCGCTGCAGTGTCGGCCAGGTAAATGCACTTGTTCTGGGTATTTCACTCAAAAACTCAAAAGTGCAAGTGTGCGACTTCTTAAGAGTCTGGCACATTTTCTAATCCCAAACAGTTACAAATTAGTTTTAAGACAGTCAAGAACGTTCCGCAGAATTAGCAAAGTGGCAGACAATAAATTTGCCAATTAGATTCTAGTGAAATATAGTAATAAGTGTAATATAGCGGTGTGTTTGCGAAAATGATATTTCAGCGAAAGACTTTAACCGAGCGCAATCGGCCCAGTTTAACAAGTGCGTGTTGCTCAACGTTTACAATAACAAAAATAAATGTATATATAGTTTACCGAAATTTTCATCTCTAATAATAAATTTTAATATTTTATAATAAAAAATGCAGAAACTGTTAATAACATTGCTTTCTAACGCTTCGGTTTGCAGGCTTAGCTAAATCCTGTGCCATGAAGGAGAAGAGTAAAAATGCCGCTCGCACTAGACGTGAAAAGGAAAATGCGGAATTCTTCGAACTGGCCAAATTACTACCACTACCAAGTGCAATTACATCACAGTTGGACAAAGCGTCCATCATAAGATTAACAACATCGTATCTGAAAATGCGTCAAGTCTTTCCCGATGGTGAGTATTGACTCTGAAACATAAATGTGAAAGCATATTTATGTTATTATGGAGATATGAAACCACAAAACAACAAACATTGTTAGTTATATAGTATGCTATAGTAGCCCGATTTGAAGTATTTCGGGTAGATATCTTATCAATTAAAGCAGGTTTCCATATAAGGAGTTGGTATTGATCGGACAGCTTGTTTGGCAGCTAAATGCATTGGTGATCCGATATCAGTGGTTCCAACAAATGAGCAGCTTTCTTGGGAGCGAAAGAAGTGAACATATCTAAACCGATTCATCTCTTTACTCAGATCACTTATGTATATACATATACGTATATACTTTATAAGGTCTCCGAATTTTCCTTCTGGGCAAGGACCACCTCAAGGGATAAAAATACATCAATATTTAAATATTTACATAGTTTATTAATAGACATGAACTAGGTAACCTATCAACGAGTTATCGTTTATGTATCGGTTTAAAATCTAAACTTTTGATGACCAAAATAATTGATGGTAGAACTGAAGCCAAAAAAATTTGGGTCGATTTTTGCCCGTTATGTTCTTCAACTCAAACTATGTGTTCGAACCAAACTTTAACTGAAAATCTAATTTCCTAAATAGGGAGTTGTTTTGTAGAGAGAATGTGTTTTAAATTGCATTCACTGAGTTTAGGTTAGTGTAAATTAGATGGCTGATAGAGGAACCCACTTAGACTGCTATGATAGTTGTAATTCAGCTACTGACAAAGCGCTTTAAACATAGCACAAGCCTGCTTAAATGCTTTATTTCTATTACTGCTATTTCATATTGGATGTCTAGAAGTATAAGATCCAAGGTGTTTTAGTCATGGTTTGGTAAAGGGTGTACAAGGAACTGTTGTCATTTTCCTTCTTCGGTAATTATTTAAGCAGATATTACTTTAGTCTCAATAATGTTATTCACTAAGTTTTGATACTATGATTTGACAGCCACTGGATGCTTTTAGCATGTTGAACATACTTTTAAATCTTCAATGCGAGTGGGTGGAACTCGTCAGAACAATCTATTAAGAATTCAAATAGGTATTCTATTTTCGATTGATAGACGGTTTCGGCTCACCCTTGCCACGATATTCGATTGATCATTGTTGCCGAGTCGTAAGCATAGATACAAGACTAGTCGCCAGTAATAACACATTCCAAGTGTTTGCTTACACTTAATCTCCATCTATGAGAAGCTATTCCCAACACGTCTAAGCGAATTGTCTACCCTGCCGTCTGCTGTCATGTCGTAGACGCTTGCAAAGTGTGCAAAACTTTGTTTTGAACCCTCAATTAAGTTTACATAAAGAAAGTTTGGCCTCTTTTATGTACCAATCACGATTATTATTATTTTTACGAGTATTTTGTTTTGCTTCTAACAATCATTGAAAGTATGTTGTTGTTTTCATTAAACTATAATTGGAACAATTGGTGCGCGCCTGTTATACGGCATTGTACTACCTTAAAACAACAACAAAAAATTTGTCAAAGCTCAATGACGTCTCGCTTTGTGCCCGCTTTCGCTGACCGTTTGACAGCGACACACGTCAGGATCATAGGTGGTGGGCGACGACGCGTACTCGAGCACGGTGCGCCACGAGCCGCCACAAGCGGGTAAATTCCTGCCGGCTATGCCAAATGATGTGTTAATGCGATGCTGGGAGTGTGTGTATGTGTTAAATATACATATGCTTGTATGCATGTACATACAAGCGCTGCGAAGTTAATACGCTCGTAATTGTTACAAAGCGCAGCAGGACATCTCATGCTTGGGAGTGTAAAAGTCGCATAGTGGATTTTTTACGGAAGGAAATTGAGCGGAAAGCTTGGTTGGTTAAAGTAATACTTGAGTATGTTCTTTGTAGATTTATAATTATGGGAGGTTTGATTTCACAAGCGCAGGCTTAGTGTGAAAGGAGTCAATGAAGTGAAAGCCATTGCATTTTCCTGTTTTTAGAAAACATTAATTGAATTGAGTCACAGATACTCTCGGTGGTATGATCGTAAATAACTATAGTGTAAGGGTTCACATCATAGTCAAAAAGTCTTGATACAGGTCAATAGGAAAGGTCTGGAATTATATTTGAATAGGGATTACAACAACATTTTCACCAAAACGGTTTATGTAATCTTAATGTTGAATATAGCTTGCAGTCTGAGGATAGGTTTAAGATCTGTTGGTTATAGCTGGAATGTTGCAAGATACAAAAAAGCTAAAGCGTCAACATTTGTAATTGATTTAAGGGGTTATATGGGTTTCAACGATGAAAAACAGTATTTTTGAAATTTTATTTTATATAAAAAAGAAATATTTTATTAGAATTTTCGATTATTACAAATACACACTATTAACAAAGAAATTTTGAAATTTTTGAATTTTAAACTCGGCCGTTGAGACGCCATTTCCGGTGACCCGGTGAGAAAGAAAGATTCTTCCACGTCTTCAAGAATTGTATCTCAAAGACTTTTGTAAAATATCATGAAGATCAGTTGGATAGTTCACGAGAAATCTTGCCAACCGACTTCAAAACACACATTTCCGAGAAAAACGCGTTTAATTACCGCGCACTTAGCCTAGCCAGCCTCAAGCGCTCAAGTTCTCAAGGCTGTATCTCCAAAACTATTACTCGGATCAACCTGAAAGTTAAGGAAACATTTTAGAGGTATTGTAGAATTTAATATGAAAATTAAGAGTTTTTGAAACCCGTAAGCCCATGTAATCCATTGAGTAACTTTTTTGGATGCCTTGAAACATAAGTAAGCCCTCCTGCAAAAAATACTAAGAATCTCGGACAAAAATGAATTTTTAAGACATGAAAAACCAAATTCCATAAATTTAATGAAATTAGCTTTTAAAAATTATATTTATCTTTAAAAACATAAATATGCCTATTTTAGAAAAAACGGATGGAAAGCGGTTAGAATATGCCCTCAATCATATAATACACGCCCACATAATTGCACACTTGGAAATCACACACACCAGCACAGTGTTTCGTAATGCAAGTGTTAGTATACACCCACACACACACACACCCAAATTTGCTGAAAGTGGGGAAGAATTCTGCTGAGCTAAAGTTTGTGCGCTAACAAAGCACAAGATTTTCAAACATACATATGTAACACTTTTTCAAGACTTCTTGCGTCCTTTTCCTCCTTTTCTTAAGTTCCACATGTATATGTGTATGTTTGTATATGTGTGTATATATCACAAGGGCGGAAGCTACCGCCAAGTGGGGGTGAATATGCAACTTGAAGACATTTTTTTGTCTTACTTTTTGCTTCGTCCTCCTTTGTGCCTTTTTATTGTAATAATTATTTCAATAATGCTTGAGCAGAAATGCTCGTCGTGGAAATAAAAGAAACACACAGCAACAAAAATAACATAGCGGAAAATGACTCAAATCAGGCGAAACAAGCAAATAGTCGCAAGGAGCAGCAGCTTTAACTATAACAATGCCTATACACACTACACCGCTATAATAAAACAGTTTTCGCAACAACAACAACAGCTCCGTCGTAAAAAAACAAGGCATAATACTTTTGTTTTTTCTATCTTCCCCGTTTTTATTTACCTCTTTCTTCATTTTCCGCCACATTTCCACTTGGTATGGGTTCGTATCTGCTGCTACTGCTCATCCCCTTCTCCTCTCATAACAAAGTAGTGTTTGTCCTGTGAGAACCTGTCTACCTTTGAGCATCAGCTCACATACTGGCGGTGGCTGGTTGCTGTGCTGTGCTGTGATTTTGCGCCTCTCCCGCTGTCGGTGGCTGTCACCGCAATGTCGCGTGTACACCTGTCTCTTATACACATCTAGATGTGTATAAGAGACAGGTGTTTGTCCTGTGAGAACCTGTCTACCTTTGAGCATCAGCTCACATACTGGCGGTGGCTGGTTGCTGTGCTGTGCTGTGATTTTGCGCCTCTCCCGCTGTCGGTGGCTGTCACCGCAATGTCGCGTGTACACTGAGAACACCCGTTGAATTGTGACACAAAAGCCTGCCGCTGCATCCCACTGTGCTGATGACTTTAATTGGGAATAATATTTATACGTCATCATGTATTGTTAAATTGTAAGAGCAAAGTTTCGCAGAATTTCATTGCGGAGACGTGAGAAGTGTGCTGTTGGTGGGAGGCGCATATGGGTTGGTGCTTGTGGCATACGTTTTACGTCGCACCTTTTTGTACTCATTAAAAGTGACTTTTTTGCTTTGTTGTCGTTGTTGTATGTATTGTATTGTACCTTATTTTTTTAGTATTCTCTCTTGCCATTATCAGTATTATATAATATTTTTTCTTTTCTGTTTTATCAATTTTTTCACTTAGGTCTGGGCGAGGCGTGGGGCACTTCACCGGCAATGCAACGCGGCGCTATCAAGGAGCTTGGCTCACATTTGCTGCAAACATTGGACGGTTTCATATTTGTTGTGGCACCGGATGGCAAAATTATGTACATCTCCGAAACGGCATCCGTACAGCTGGGACTCAGTCAGGTGAGCTTGCATTAGCTGCATTAATTTCGAAACTTTCTAGCATGGATTAGGCTTAGAAAGAGACTCATCTAAAATTGAAAATAAGATTTTTTTGATTGAATCAAAATTGAAATAAAATCATTGAAAACAAAATTTATTTGGCATATTTTTGGTCCAAAACTCAGCAAAGTAAGAAAAAAACATTAATTAATTTAAAGAATTGAGATAACGATTAAATTTATATCATTATTTCCTCGCTTGAAGACAATAATTTAACCATAAAATGATAATTGTTCGACACACTGTGCAGGATATATGTAAAAGAAACCGTTGAAAAGCTTTATTTATGCGCATAATTTGATTTCATAACCTCTTCTTTGCCCCAAGTATGCAAATTTTATGTTCTGAAGATGCTCCTTTACAGTTTCCACAAATTTGCATTTCTGAGCAGGGCAAAATAAGCAAAAAATTATATTTGTAATAGCATAAATAGCAAAAGTTAAATTTTATAGCACCAACTTTAGAAGTTTTGGCATAATTACTTTATTAATACCCTTCACAGGTGCATTTCTTATAGCATAAAGGGTATAAAAAGACTTTTCCTTAATTTTGATAGGTCGGTATGCATGGCAGCTATACGCCATAGTGGTCCGATCGGCATAATTTGTTCGAAAATTGTAGCCTTGCTTTAGATAAGGGACTGTGTGGAATTTCTCAAATAAAGAAGTTTTCTTTACAAGGGTATAGCGCTTTGGAGAGAAAAGCACAAGTGAAAATTTTCAGATTGTTATCACAAAAACTGAGGGACTAGTTCCCTTATATACAGTTGGACATGGCTAAATCGAAACAGCTCTTGACTTTGTTCATTTATGTACATATACTATGTATACTATCTTAAAGGTTCTCCGTCATTTCTTACTCTACTTTTTATTTATACATGCAAATAATTTTCTCTCTTCCTTTATTTTTCTGCAGGTTGAACTCACCGGCAATTCTATATTCGAATATATACACAACCACGATCACGATGAGATGAACGCTATACTCTCACTGCATCCTTATATGTACCAAAATCCGGTAAGTTACTTATTTATCGCCATTTTTCAGTATATATATACATACATAAACCTATGTATATTTGCTTATGTACTGATCCACGGCTTCTCTTCTTTCCATTTTGTTTGGCGTTTGGCATTTTAGGATGCATTTATTAATTCATTACATCTACCACAGAGCGGCAATCCACCCACCGGCCATGCGAACGTCATCGGCAGTCCGAATGGCAGCTATGGCAATGATCGTGGTTCGCAAACGATCGAATTGCAAAAATCCTTCTTCCTGCGCATGAAGTGTGTGCTGGCGAAACGGAACGCTGGACTCACAACATCTGGTTATAAGGTATGTAGCCACTTTGTAATGTTGTTATTTGTTTTTGTACAGTTTTTGTATTAAAAATTGGTTATTTTTAGGTTATTCACTGCTCTGGCTACTTGAAAGCGCGCATATTTCCTGACTATGGCGACGGTCATGGCGGTTACATACAAAATTTGGGCCTTGTAGCTGTCGGTCACTCTCTGCCTTCGTCTGCGATAACGGAAATTAAATTACACACAAACATGTTTATGTTTCGGGCGTGCATGGATCTGAAATTAATATTTTTAGATGCGAGGTGAGTAAGAATTTTTGATAAATTGATAGTTATGGGTGAAAATATAGGGATAATAAATATGACTAACGAAGGCACTGATGATGGAAGAGAAAATCAAAATTTAAGAAAAAACAAAATATATCAGATTTAAACATTTTTAGGTTAGGTGGAAAAACTAGATATTAACAATATAATACCTCGATTTCGTCTTTTCTTCCGACGCTTGCAGTCTTTTGTTAAAAAAATCAAATAATGTCGACCTAAAAATATTTCCCTTGAGGTGATGTCTAAATAATAATTAAAAATATTTCTTGATTAAAAAAAAAAATTGAAAACTGTCAGATTTTTTGATTTTATGCTATTTTTTAACAGTGTTTGTAAAAATAAAAAAACAAAAATATTTGAAAATGATGTTGTTATAGCGGCATAAAACATTCCTGAAATAATAAAATCCGGGTCCGTACCGGCTACTTAGACTCGACTATCGTGGGAACTGCTTTAAAAATGTCGCAGCTGTTGTTTCTCAAGATCATTTTTTGTGAAACCAAAAATGTTTTCTAATTTGTAAATTGTTTAGTGAATAACATATTAAATTACAGGCAATTAGGCATATAATTTCGAAATTTTCTTAGTATCCTTAACATTTCATTAAAGCTCAAACTGGAAATATAAAACTGAACAAATATTAAACATCAACACTTTCCAATGTCATTGTGACAATAGATGGAAAATCAAAGATAAAAAATAAGTATGTATATATTTATATATATGTATGTATGTATCTATAATAAAAGACAATGTCTATAAAAAACCCTGCCTTCCAATCAACCACTTGCCACTCATCCACCCACTTTGACTGAGCAAACAAAACGGCAAAACAAACCATTTCCCTCTTAACTAAGTGCTGCAATATTGTTACGCTCAGCAGTATCAGAAGTAACGGCAGTCGAGTGGATGTTAGCTGTTGGGAATTGTGATTTTGTTTCTTCGACGGCAACCAGATGATGAAAATGTAGAAAATTCCGGTGGCATGGGTAAGTTAGGGGGAGTTTTTGGCAGCTACCAGTCGCCGTTTGCCGACGTCTGGTTATTACCGACACTCAATTACCCTCATGATAATGTTTTAGGTATTGTCTGTCAAAAAATGACAATGGAGTTTTCGTTCCACGCATACAAGTACATAAATATATTCATATGTTGTAGTTATACGCTTGAATATGATATGCCTATAGGAAATATTACAAACTGCTTGAATGCTGTAGGAATTTGTTTCCGTTACGATGTTGTATATGGAATTATGTTTAATGTTAAGTAAAGTTAAGAACAGGTTTTCTTGGGTTTTCTCCATCCAATATTATGGCTCATATTTGGCATAGTAATAATGGACAATCCTACCAACTTGGCAAAATACATTTTTTAAATATAATTTACTCGTTGTCGCGATGTTTTAGCCAAGACTTTATGCCGAGTTTCGTGCAGATATCTTGCCAAATAAAAAAAGAGATTGATCTATAAGAACAAGAGTAATTTATTTGTTTGTATGGGACCTGTATGCTATGGTTGTCCACTATCGACGGTTCCGACTAATAAACAACTTCGTGTTGAGAAGAGGACGCGTTCAACATTTCGGATCGATATCTCACTAACTCAGAGACGCAGCCAAACCGACTCAACATGGATACAAGCGCTGGATATAAAATCATATGTAAGACAAAGCAGACTCTCTGCAATCCGGGTAATAAGAGCTTTCCGAACGATATCAAGCGATGCTGTTGAAGTACTAGTCAGCATGCCGCCAAATTGACATTCAGGAGACGAATTCGCGTGACCTTACCAGCTACCAGAGCCGTCTACAAAACAGAAAAAAGCATAGAGATCCAAGAGCCTTACATTGTGACAGCAGCGGTGGCAAACCTCATCCAAAGGATGTACGATGGACGCACAGACTGATCCACGATATTTATTCGCGGATAGACAGAAGACATGGGGATCTGAGTTTCAACCTAACTCAGTGTTCGAGTGGTCATGGATGCTTTAGAAACTATCTGTTCCAAATTAACGTTACTCCCTATGGTCCGACATGTACAGTTCGCATAGAAGACTCTGAACACGTATTTTTTTCACAGCCTCATTTTTTAAAAGCTAAAATCTATACTTGGCGGTAATGTAAAAGTGGAAAATTTGACATATGTACGTGTCAGTCCTCTGATAAATGAAAAGGGGTCAGCGAACCGTCAGCTCTAAATATAACAGAACTAAGAAATAGATTATTTTCTAATCCGGTGGTTTCGTGGGATGCTACAAAGTCATTGAAAATTGGCAAACTTAATGTGTACTTCAGGGTTCAGGGTATAATAACTTTAGCTCACAGCCTCCTGGAACACCATCATTAGTATAGCTAAAAAACGTTCAGAATTCGAAGTTAGCTATGATTTCTAAACAGAAAGGTCCTAAGTTCAGGTCTATTTTAATACATGTTTTATTGCAGAAAATTAGTCAAATTTTTTAAAGTAAAGTGTTGAACTAATAAAAAAATCGTTTGATTTAAATTTTCCAGAGTATCCCAACTCACCGGCTATGAACCGCAAGACCTCATAGAGAAAACCCTCTATCAGTACATACACGTTGCGGACATTGGAGCCATGAGCTGCGCCCATCAAACGCGTAAGTATTATATAGTATTTGGCCGGCGTGTGTCATGACTGCCACGCAATATTTTTACTTGTATTTAAAACAATAAATGCAAATAAAATGAAAAAAAATCGAATCACACCAGGCACAATCGTTTAATTCCCAGCAAATTAAAGCGAAATCCTTTCAATTCATTTTCAACGCATTTACAATATTTATTTATTTATTTTTCTACAATACGCTTTTGTTTTTCCAACTAATTTGCATTGTATTTTACATGTTGTCGTTATTGCAGTGGTATACAAAGGACAAGTCACCACCAAATACTATCGCTTTTTGACGAAGGGCGGCGGCTGGGTCTGGGTGCAGTCGTATGCGACCGTGGTGCACAACACACGCTCCTCGCGCACTCACTGCATCGTCAGCGTAAATTATGTCCTTAGGTGAGTTGAAAGCTAGTATATAGTATTGTATATTCATACATGTGTGCGTGTGTTACGGAAATAGTGTTGAGTAATACGAGTAAGTCCAGCCAATAACGGGTGGATTACGAAACGTTGGCGCTGAAAAAATATTGGCCATGCTGAAGTGTTTTAATAGGATTGTTTTGTTGTGAAGGGATTTTGTGATTGCGCCGAGTAGATTTGTAGCAGGAAAATATTTCTTATTTGATGCGACATATTGCTATTGTCATATATATTTGTATGTATGTATAAAAAGCTTTACTTTTACTAGTAAATGGATTAGGGCTTTATGCGTGGGATATAAACCTATTAGTAACTACCATACCATATGTTTTTTGTAATAGTATACAGTAAGTATTCGTGCTTATGTATGAGTTGTGTTAAAAAAATAACGGGAAGTTTCGTTTTTTTTGAAAAAAGTATTAATTCATGTTGTTGATTTCAAAATAAGCACTTGTGCCACCAGCGTTTCTTCCAAACATCGAAACACCTATTCCTCTTTGACACTACATCTGTGGGTCGCTCTGGGTTAAGAACACAAAACCTCGCCAGTTGCCTGTATATTTTGCGAGGTCACGCCAGTTGTACACTCCAAGTGCAGATAGGTCGCTTTTACTTGGTCATTTGTGGGGATCTGGAGTCGAAAGAACTTTTCGATGGAGCATCATTTTCCATGCGAATAACATGGTCTAACCCACACATTCGTTGTATTTTCATTCGCTTAATTACTATACATATATTAATGACGCCTTAAAGCTTATTATGCTAGTTCCATCTTATACGAATACTCACCGTTCACGCGAACGACTCCAAAGATATTGCGAATAACAGTTCTCACGAAAGCTCCAAGTGCTTCCTTATGAGCATGAGAGACTTATAGAACGTAATTTTTTTGTTCCTCGAGAGGGGGAGCTTTTTCTCAATGTCTACCGATCCCAAAGTGGCACCTGTGGACAAGAGTTCTTCTGCACTTGATCTCCATGCTGGTTCCGAGATATACAAAGTCCCTAAATTTTTCAAATTTATAGCTGACAACAGGGGCTTAGGTACCGAGAGAATAGCAAATTTTGTATGCGGCCACGATGAATTTTATCTTGTCCTCATACAACAAGATCAACTTTGCTCGTTTCTTTTTGTAGGCTTAAAAAGGCTGTTCTGTTGCTAAGGTCTACGAAGTCTATTTTAAGCCTATGATTTGTAAATGTGTAAATGGAGTGTGCTAGTTACTCTAGGTATCCAGCCACAGTTGTACTATCATACTGAATCACTACTCCGGCATTCGCGATGAGCTCCACGCGCTACGTGAGGTACTTCGAGTGCGATGTGTTAACCATTTCGTGTGGATCTGAGGCTAAGAAAGAGAAAGCCCTGAAGGGGCCACTCCGATGTAATCGGTTTGAGGGCTCAGCAAGGTTGCAAATTCTGTCCACCAGGAGGAGCAGCAGCAAGAGGGTCTGTTTTGGAGCAAGCGGCTCGCTATATAAACGTGATCAACGAAATTTTCTTTCCAGATTCTCATATTTTTTGTAAACCAAGGTCCCTTAAAGTTCGATAATTGGATTCTCCAATCTTCCGAAATATAATTTAGAAATTTCCGTTATCTTAATACACCGTAAACAAAACTTTTAAATATAATATATGAAACGAGCATTTCTGAACTAGTTAAAATCGAATAGTTTTCATTTATTTCACTGATGATCCGTGATATCTACTGAGCGGTTAGTATTTCATAATACCAATACGCAATTTATTTAAAATTACAACCTTTCAAAATGTTCCAACTATTCCTTTATTAATTGTTGTTTTTTTATTTTCCACCACCCTTGCAGTGAACAAGAGGCCAAAGACTTGATTCTCAATGAAATACAAACGGGTGTGGTTAAAAGCGAGCCAATCACCGCTTCGGCTGCGTTGACGCCATCTTTGCATGCGGCACACGCAGCTGCCGTCGCCACACACCCGGCGCTAAGCAATGGCATTGCCGTTGGCAGTACGGCGAGTTGCGCGGCGCTCAGCGTGAGTCCCAAACTGGACGCTTGTTTTGAGAGTGCTGGCGTACATCTACCACCTAACGTGCTTACACCGGTGCTGACTGGCGGTAGCAGCAGCAGTGGTGGCGGCGCCGGCAACGGCGTTACGCACAATAATAACAACAATAATGCCTATATGACGGGACATATAATGCACACGCAACTGCCGCACCATCAGCACGCGCATCTGCATGCACATCCGAACGCGCATGTGCACACACATCATCTGCATCACGTGCATCCGCATGCGCATTCTCACGAAGTACCGCTACCACCGCAAACGCAACACGAAAACCTCAACTATACAACGCTCTTCCCGCCGATCAACGATCTCGTGGTCACCTCATCGACGCTCGGTCACGAAATGCAATACCCGGACACAACCACCGGCCCCGGATACTACGGCGGCAGTGTCGGCACGACCAATAGCAATAACAACTCTGGCAGTGAACACTACTACTACGAGGCGACGCCTTCAGCCACATCACTCAATCGACCGTACTCCGCGAATTCCAATAGCTGTTCCAGCAGCGCGGAGAGCGAGCGCCAAATGTCAACCGGCAATGCGTCGATAATAACGGGCAATTCGCCGCAGACGACGTACAGCGAGTTGAGTCATACATTTGAATTGCATTATTTGTCGGATAGCAGTTCGCATCAACAGGCCGCCATGGCGGGACCACCGACTACACAACAACAGCAGCAACCACAACAACATCACCTACAACCTATGGAACATCATCAACACACGCATCATCACCAAACGCATCAGCTGCAGCAACAAACCTTGGCGTCTGGTCATATTGCCACCCTGCAACAACCAACGACGCCACAGTCTCAGTCACAACAACAACAAATGGAGCACCAGCAAATGCATCAGCATCAAACGACACTGGTGGCACATCAACTACAACAGCATGAGCATGAACAACTACAACAGCAGCAGCAGCAACAACAACAACAGCATGAGCATATTGCCCGCTCATTCGCCGTCGCCGTGGAGAAGGGCGTCAGCGTGCAGCCGCAATACACCAGCGTCATTGTTGACCCCCATCATCATTATATACCCAACGATTTTGTACATTAGCATTTGCTAGCTGGTACGATCCGCAGGATCGGTGGCAGTAAAGCACGTGTTGTGCTCTTATTGGGGGCGCCTTGGGTGTCGTCATGTTGCTATGACACATTGTTGTTGTTAATTTTAATAGTTCTAATTATTGCTAATTAAATTGGACTGAGTCACAAAAATATATACATACATAACTATATATAAGTTTCGATTTAATCTTTTTGCCAATTTTATTTACTCGAATATGGTCTGCACTAGCTGAGGAAAAGGCCGCATACTCATAGGCTCAAAAAACAGGTACTATCATTTACATATTATACAGAATTTATTTATATACACCAGAATAGCTATGAGATCCCAGCAGTCATTTTAAAAAGAAGAGGTGGCCAAAATGTGTATTTAAGGCAAATTTTCATTAGTTAATTTAAAATTTTTTCAAGGATGTTAGTGATTTCACTTTTGCTGGTTAATTAGTTAAAAAGTTATTAAATAGTTATGAAATGTATAAAAAATGTAAACTTATTTAAAATAAATTGTTTTAAAAATAAATTGTGCCGTTCTAATATAAATTTTCAACTTTAAATCACTTATATTTTAAAATCAAAAAAAATATATAGTATTACAACCCTGCATAAAATCCGTTTAGATTACTAAAGGTCGTTTTCTAAAAGTCTGATTAGCAACAATCTGTCAGTTAGGTTCGGGTTAACTTAAGCAATACTTATTTTTTTAATATATAATATGTAAATATAAATATTAAAAATTTGCAAATTTTATTGCTCTGGCAATATTTGAAAAAGTGGACCTAGCAATCTAACTCGATTATATGCAGATTCGTTAATTTTTTTTAATTAAAATGTAATTCTTAAGGGTTATATACAGTTAGAAGGCCGAAAAAAACGATTTTTCCAGAATAATTTCTGAAAAAACTTTTAAATTTATGGATGCAAAAACTTTTACATTCGGGTAGTTCATTTCCAAATAGATAATTTTACTAGTACCACGTCCTAAAATGCTGATCTCTGGAAACTTCTCTCAAAAAAGACGCTGCGGTGACCACTATATCTCTGTACTGTACCCTCTGAAATAAAAAAAAAAAAAACAAATTTCGTTAAAGTAATGTTAAATCTAGTAATTCATTGGAAGAATAAGCAAAATACAATTTATTAACAAAATTAGGGTTTCTCAAAACAATATTTTTCATCTTAAATTCTATATAAAAGAAAAAACATATTTATAGGTGAGAAAAAATCTTCTATTGAATATTAAAAATTTTATTTAAGAAGTTCGAGTTAAAATTTTAAACTAATCGTTTCGAGTGATGTTGATCATCGACTTTGAAAACACCATTTTGAGAAAAACGTTTGAAATGCATTTCCAAGAACCCTTCCCTTTCAAAGCTCTCTGTGTAACTTCGAAAATATTCACCGAAATGATATGGAATTTTCTCTGTGTATTCTTATATATACTATTTAAGTTAAGAAATTGAAAAAAAAAAAGATTTTTTGTGAAAATCCTAACTGTATATAACCCCTTAAATATAAATTTGGATTAACATTTTTTTTTTTATATCCGGTATTTGGGAGTAAAAATTTTTAATTTTTCGATTCGATATTTGGGATTAAGATAATATAAATAAATCGTAGCTTTTCCAAAATGTTTTCAAAGTTCTTAAAATAATTATTTATATATTATTATTGCATATATTTAGATCTCAGAACAGTTATGCGGTGTTTTCTAGGGTTAGTGCGCCCATATTCACTTATTTACTTTAAATTAATTGAATAAAAAAATATTTAAAAATCTGTGTCAACTTAGAACGACTTTACATAGTTTTTATTTATTTGTTTAGTAAGTCTTTCTTTGTTGGGCAATTTAATTTTACTTACATATGTGCTTAAAAGTATATTTTATTTATTACCCAAAGTTACGCAATTATCAAGCCAAATTGTTTTTGTATTTTCTTTAACATTAAGTAATAACAATATGTAAATAAATTAATTGCTAAAATAATAAAACAAGCGAATAAAATTAACTGTACAAAAATTGTGAGTTTTCCAATTATTCGCTTAATGCCGTTATGGTTTATCCATGGCGTATATACATATGTATGTAAATGTTGTATGTTGAGAATACCTAAAGTATAAAAAATTTATTTAAAAAGTGTACGTAAAATCAAAATTATATATAAAACTAAATAATAGTGAGCATTAATGATCTTCGTAAGCTATATTTATGTACAATAAACAAAGAATTCTAAGCGATTTTATGCTTAACGAATATCGCTCGGACGATGAAGCAGCTGATGATACTTTGAGTTTTTCTAAATATTGACATTAAAGTCGGTTGACAGACTAATATAAGATAATAACTAAAGAAACATATAAATAAAGTGATAATTATTTATACAAATTGTGTTTAATTTATTAAATAACATTTAAATAAAAAGCAAATATTTTATTAAGTTGTTTACCTAGTTGTTATTTTCATTTTTCTATTTCTTGATTGGCGTAGACAACGCTTACTCAATTATAGCTGAAAGGCCACAACATATTTTGATTTTTAGTGTTTTCAAATAAAATTATTAATGACACAAAATTATTTAATTGTTTATCAATTTATAAATGTTTTGTCATCGTAAAAATAGCGTTCAAGGGATGCCAAAGCAAAATTAAAATAATTCGAATTTGGAATTCGAAAAAAGGCGTCAATGGACATAGATCTTATATATCAAATAATAAGGTGAAATTTTTAAACTAAAATTCTCGAAATTTAAAATAAAATTATATTTTTATTAAAACTAATTAAAATAAATAGTTTATATAATTTAAACTAGTGCTATTGAAACTATTGCAAATTTTCCGTCCTCTTAAATAAATATGAATCTCTGGTAGCACCGCTTGATTTATTCGAAAACATGCGGAAGTAGAGCACGCACTGAACACACTAAACTTCGTGCACACAAGGTTGCATTAGAAGAGAGTTTTGTAAAAGCAACGTTTGCTGATAGATAAATATTTTCTGTAGAGTCATGAAGGTAGTGTTACCGAAATATAGTAAATTGATTACAAATAATATTTACAATATATTTTTTATTGATGACTTGTGCTAATTAGAAAAAAGTGCTACTTCGACATTTATATATTAGCAATACAACTCTGATTGCATGAAATAATTTGACGTTTCAACTTCGATTGATTTGACAAGTTCGAAAAACAGCCATCTTTCTTTTTTCGCGAATCCCTCGCTAGTGTGAAGGTGAGAATTCTGTTTTAATAAAATTTTCTTTTTAAATACGAATAAATATACATAAAATTATTCAAAGCCATGTAATAATGCGATAAAATAAGATGATAATGAGTTTTGAAAAGATTATGTTTATAATTATACCATAATGGACATAATTTTTAACACGTGTTTCTTGTGCTCGCAATGCTTCGAAAGTGGTGAAATTTAATATCGATTCTTTGTTCTACTTGCAGATAAAAACACAAAATGCAATTGTTCGTACGTGGTTTTGATGCCGTAGAGCCCGTTGAGGTGCTCCCTACTGCTACCATTGCCGAAGTTAAGGTGTGTAAGAAAATTGCTACATCGATGGTGACAGGTCAACAATGTCAACTGACATCATTTCTAACCCTACTTCTTCTGTTTTGTACGTATACGCTAATTTTGTATATTTTCTTTTAGGCACAAATCGCTCAAGCCCATGGTTTGAACATTGAAGAAATCACATTGAATTGTGAAGGCAATGCCTTGTGCAATGATGCCGCTGTGACATCTTTGGCTTCCTTGGAGTTGGATATCACTGTACCAATGTTGGGTGGTAAAGTGCACGGTTCTTTAGCGCGTGCCGGTAAGGTCAAAGGACAGACACCAAAGGTGGAGAAACAAGAAAAGAAGAAGAAGAAGACTGGCCGTGCAAAGAGGAGGATCCAATACAACCGTCGTTTCGTCAACATTGTGCAAGGTTTCGGTCGTCGTCGTGGCCCCAACGCCAACTCCAACTAAGCTTATCAATAGTTGATATGTTCTTTTGGGTTTGGTTTTTTACGTGTAAAATGAAATTGATTTTCACCAACAAATTATATTAAAGTAATATAAATAAGTATGTGAATTTCGGTGATTTTATTATTAAAAATTCCATTGGAATGTTAATACAAAGAGTATAGTTTTGATATATTTCAAGTGTTTTAGCAAAATATTTATTGCAAGAAATATCGCCGGTGTATACATTCGTATATATTCGTATACCAGTTTTTCAATTCAAGTTGAAAAGACCCCTCGCTTTTTCTCAACAAAGTACCATCTATACCAATATTCGATGAATAATATGAACAGAGCAATAAAAAAACCTGCAATAAATTAAATTCTAGTTTAATGAAAAGTAACGAGTTAATGCACATGTCGTCATACCAAACAAAAGTACCATAAAGCAGCCTTGCATGTCATCCAAATTCACTTTGTGGTTCATAATTTGCCGCATACCACCATGACCACTACACTTGTCCATCGAAGGTAAATTTATTTGATGCCAACGTTCTATGAAACCCATTTGGAACATTCGTGTTATTTTATCATTAATTAATTGTAGATATGGACTATCCCTCGGTACAATCAAACCAATCTGCTCGGCTACGAAATTGTCACGTCCCAATGAGAACTTACACTCCTTGTCCTTTTCGAATTGCTTTTGTATAATCAGCTGCAGATTGATGCGCCAATCGACATTAATGCGCTTGCCATCCTGCACTGCGCCAATATCCTCACCTTGTACATTATTGTAAATGATGGCGCGTTGCACATAATCACGAAAATCATCGCGCGTTGTTATTTGCTATTTGAAAATTTTTATTGTTTATAAAAAATAATAGACCGTATACGATATGTACTTACCGTTGCATACTTTTCAAAGTAAGAGCCATTTCGCAAACCAAATTGTTGCATTGCGCTGGATGAAAATATTTGAAAAAAGTAATCTATGCCAGGTTGAAATTGCGGAAACGTAAGAAATGCAACCAAGTTTCCACTGTATGTAGTCACAAGTACAATTACAACAATCCACCAAACGCCGATCACTAGACGACCACTATCCGCTTTAGGTAAGTACATGCCGCCTGCCAAAAATATACAGGGTCAGTTAAAAGCTAGTTGGTGTATTTATGGTATTTATTACCTTGTTGTAGTAGCGCACCATAGATATACCAAAAACAACTGTTGAGTGTGCTGAGGCCGGTTATGCGCAAATGGTCCATTGGCACCAGACGATTTATGAAGTATAGCACCGGCGCAGTGATTATAATAATGACCACCAGGCAGCCCCATATCTGTTCGGCGTGTATATATTTTTTGGACATTGTTCACTTACATACTTGTCGTACACACTTATTTTGTCTTGCTTACCTCGGTTGTAAAAGGAGCTGCAAACAGATAAATGCGACTCACTTCATCCGGCTG